CAATCACCTTGGTCGGCCAGTAATTGGTCCCTTTCCTGTCCAATGGGAACGGAAAGGGAGGTTGGCGCCGCCGCTTCTGCTTCTCCACTGGGTGGGAATAGGTTAGGGAATTTCGGTTGGCCTCGGAAGCCACTTAAACCAGACAAAATGGCCGGCTTCGATGTGTCCGGCTTAAACAGCAGCCACTGCATTTATTCTGAAATTGCCCTTTACAACTCTAAACTTGTGTCTTCTTGTTCTATTGTTATGATGCACCACCAATTTATGATCTGGATTTACGTTTTTAATCCCATTAAAAAAATTTTGCACATCTCTTTGAAGTCCGCTCTGAGTCGTCTCTCTTGAGACTGAAGAGCCCTAGCTTGTCTAGTCGTTGCTCATGGTTGATTCCTTTAGCACTGGGGATCATCCTCGTTGCTCTTCTCCTAACTGTCTCTAGGACCTGGGCCGGACCCTTATATCACGGTGACGTGAACTGTACACACTATTCAAGTTGAAGAGGCCGGATTGTGAATTACTATTCAATACAGATAATATATTCAATACTATGTCGGCTCAAATTGACCTGCAAACCCATTAACAGTTGTGCATGAGTGAGGCCAATGTGTGTGTCATAGTGCTTTAGAGTTAGAACAGTGGCAATGTGTAGCCTCATACTGGTGATTCACTATCAAGGAATTTCTGATCTTGTCTGGACTCTCATGGGGAGGCAGTGAATAGAGGTGACCCATTTCTCCACAGGAATTGAAGTCTTGGCAGAGTCGGTCTGTCTCAGTCCATTGGGCATAAATAAAAGGGAAAAAAGGTTAAACTGTTGTTTAATGATAACAATAGTAATAATTCTTGCATTTGATATAAGAGTCTTATCAGGTTGTAGAAATGTCCCAAAGCTCTTCACAGAAAATACTGTAAAGTGGTTTGACTGTGTATTTGTGTGCGAGTGGAAGCGGAAACTACCTGAGAAAGATAGGGTGATTTGGAAACCAAAAGAGAACTTAAAATCTTGCTGCCTTTTGCTCAAAACCAAGGTTACTACATGTGCAAAGATTAAGTTTCGCTACATTATGCTTAATTTATTTTTCGGGCAGTACAGTGTACCAAATAAGGGTTACCTGAATCCATATTCAGGTTCTATACCATATTGTTCATGTTGTAATTGTTTAATTTCCTTGATTGTATGAAGTGCAGTGACTGGCCAAGCTACAGATACAGGAAATGGGGTTGGTGAGATCAACTTATCTGTCTGATGTATAAATCACACCTCAGTGCAGTTATTTCTGACCTGCACACAATTTTTTTTATGTCATGTAAAATTTCTTTGAGTGTGCCGAGATACTTTTATATAAAATAATTGGACAAGTTGCTTGCTTTAAGGAGCTTCACCATTATTAGAGTGGAGTCCTGTAGCTCAGTGGTTAGAGCACTCGCTTTGCAAGTGAGAGACCTGAGTTCAATTCCAGGCAGGGCGAAACCTTGGGCAAGTTTCCTTACTCCACACGCCTAATAATAATCCCTCCAAAAAAAAAAACAATAATTAAATTGGTCATTTTCAATCTACGACTGTTTGTGGGACATTGCTGTGCGCAATTGGCTGCCGCGTTCGCCCACAAATATACAGTCAATTCACTTTACAGTGTGTTCTGTGAAGCGCTTTGGGACGTCCTCCCGACGTGAAAAGCGCTATATTAAATGCAAGGATTATAGGATTATTTCAATTTTATTGTTGGCCTTTGTCAACAATAAAATATGTGTCAGCCTGGCTTATTGATGGCACTCTTGCCTCTGAGTCAGAAGGTCTAAGTCAAGATGACACTCCAATGGTGGTGTGTTGCATTGTCGGAAGTGCCTTCCTTCAGATGAGAGACTAAACTGAGGACCTGACTGCCTGGACGTTAAAAACCCCATGAAACTATTTGAAAAGAAAAGTGTCCTGGCCAACAAATTCCCCCAATAAAATTGGCCACTCACTCCATGGCTGTTTTGGGGACATTGCTGACTCCTGAGTTTCGCCCGCAAAATACACAGTCACTCCACTTTACAGTATATCATGTGAAGCGCTTTGAGATGACTCAATGATGTGTTAATTTGCTATATCAAACAAATCAAATACAAGGATCATTATATGTTGCCTCTATAATTGTGTCCCATGTTTTAGAACTAACCTTTTTTTAGTAGGAAATTATTTAGCCAATTGAAGAATAAAGTTATTCAAGAGCATGGGAGTAGGATCGGGGAAGATATCTCCATTGGGAAGCAGTGGAACAAACTACGCATGTTAACATTAGATTGCAATTGGACAAAAAAACAAAGAATTTTGTATTACTGTGCGGATTTTAAATATTCTAGTGCTCTTTAAATATTGGTTAAATTCAACCAATGGTGAATCTACAGGCACATTTGACTGAATTTATATTTTAATTCATTAATAAAGTTGCCTTTTTAGAATGGCAGAAACTACTTCTTCCCACATTCAATTTCTGTTGAAGCGACTGAGAATTTGGGAATAGGGTTAGAATTTCTTGCTTCCCTGAATTACCCTTCAGAGGAGACTGGAAAGTCCATTAATTCGCAGTGATCTGATTCTGTTTCTGGTGTCTGGAACATTTAACGGGCAAGATGAAAATTATACATGCAACTAAACTGTCCACCTAGTGCTATTTAAGATTGAAAAGCAAACCGTCTGTCACTGTCATAGATGAAATTACCAATGGTGCACAAATTAAGCTTTGTAAAGCTTCACCATTCATCTAAAGATTTGTTATTCAAGCTTAGAACTTGATTTATCTCATAGAGCAACTCCTTTCTTGGGTACTATAGTGACAAGCACTTTGAATAAAACAGACACTTAAAATGCAAACCACTTTGGAAAGGATAAAATTGGTTGCATGGCTGAACTCACATCATTGCACTTGAAATACGAAAATGCATAAAATAAACCAGTTTATTTGCTCATTGCTAAGATAATTGACTATCAACAGTTGGCTCACTCAAGATGCTACAGTTGATCTAGATTCTGTTAAATAGTTGCTTGATAAAAATGTTGATCGCAACTAAAAGACAGAATTATGAATTACCATCAGAAATTATGTCGCTAGTCCACTGTAGGTATGGCCAGTTTTTCATTGAATTAGCTGATGTTCAGATTTTTGCCAGTATTTTACTCCAGTGAAATTTTAAGTGTACAATTTTGTAAAGTTCTTAAATTCATTAAGCCTTAAGTTGGAAAACAGTTTTGCAATATTAAATCTGCAGCAGTAGAAGTATCAGCCTAGCTCTCAACTGAGTCAGAAGGTTGTGGGTTCAAGCCCCACAGCAGCATTTTGAACTTGTTATCTAGGCTGACACACCCAATATATTGCTGGGGTGTGCTGCATTGTTCAAAGTAACATCCTTCGGATTAGATGTTAAACCGAGGTCCTGTCTGCCCGATGAGGTGAACTTCGAAGATCTCATGGCACTATTCAGAAAGAGAATGGAGATTTTCCTTGGTGTTCTGGCCATGCGGGATATTGATGTATGCAAATTTGCTACTGTGCTTGCCTACATTCATTACGTGACGTGAAGCGCTTTGAGACATCCTCACAACATGAAAGGCGCTGTATAAACATAAAACATGATGAGTAGCTATATCAAATGCAAGGATTATTATAAAGAAAGAAAACAAAGTAACAACAAACATTTATAGATGTAACAAACACATGCTTACATCTGAAAGTCCCCCCCCACCAAGCAATACATTAATTTCAGCTGTTAGACTTCACTTTTTTTAAGTGAGAGATTACAAGTGGTTTGTGTATCTATTTGAATCATTGTGGTATCAGAGAATGATTATTTCTGTAATATCTTTGAGGTCGTCAATGTATATGTTTCTAAATCATTTGTGGAGAGAAATTCCAGCTGGGTCTAGACTTACACTATTTATGTGGCATTTTGCAGATTTTAGCAAATTCTAGAATTCCGTCTCAACTTTGAAGCTGCTTTTCCTCATTTGTTGAAAGAACTTAAAGAAAAACGGCTTCAAAATTAAGGCTGTATTCAAGATTCTGCCATTTTTTGTGTTGTATCTAATGTACAACAAGATACAACAAGATTCCATTTATAAAGCGCCTTTCACGTCAGGAGGACGTCCCAAGGCGCTGCACAGTTGGGTCAGGACCCGAGCAGGGGGGAAATGGTCAGGGTGAGGGGAGGGAAGGAAGGGAGCGAGGAGGGGGGAAATGGTCAGGGTAAAGGGAGGGAAGGGAGGCAGCGAGGAGGGGGAAGAGAGTCGAGAGGGGAGCTGAAGGCACGGTCAAAGAGAAAGGTTTTGAGACCGGCCTTGAAGGAGGAAAGGGAGGAAGCGGCGAAGGCACTGGGGGATAGAGTTCCAGAGCCTCGGGGCTGAGAGGCTGAAGGCCCGACCACCGATGGTCGGGCGGTTGGGGCGGGGGACGTGGAGCAGACCGGAGCCGGAGGAACGGAGGGTACGGGCAGGTAGGTAGGGGGATAGTAGGTCAGAGAGGTGTAGAATATATGGAGCAAATGTAGACCTAGTGGAAATTTGTAAACAAGAAAAATAATGTAATTTCACAGAATTTGAATACACGGAATACTTTAAATTAAAACACTTTTTTTTTGTGTGTTTTGTCCTGATGCACAGAGCTGTTGCCTGGTTACCTTTCATAGTAAATCCCTTGTGCACAGGAATGAAAATGCTCTTAACCTTCAGTCATTGTTGCAACAACAATGAGAAGATCTTTGGAATATTAATAGAAAATATGGCACATTAGTGAGGTACTCTCAGCTGCATGTAAATTACTCTATTAGTATAACCGCAGCTTATTTAAGGAAACTGCTCAACCAACAAGGTGACACTTTGAGGAAAGTATCTTCTATATTTTACATTAGTGGATAGTAGATATCAGATTTGTGAAAGTGTTTTTTAAATAAAGTGATACTCCTGCATTTCTCACCAGTTGTAAGTGAACTATAGCAGATAATGCATGTATTTCTTCATTCAGATACGGCCTGTTGCCCACAGCCGGATAATAGCATCAGCAAGGTTCCGGAGGCCTATTCAAGAGCCTTGTACTATTTGGTGAGTAAAGACCAGAAATGATCTTTAAAGTAGTGAATTAAGTTGTATCATGTTAAATCGCTTTGGGATGTGAGTGAACCAGGCAGGGTCTGACAATAGCGTTTGTTCCCCATCCCTATTTGCTGCACAGCAAATTGTTAGATCATTTCAGAGGGTGTTTAGAATCAACCAGAGCTGGGGTCTTGAGTTGCACGTGAGCCAGCGTGAGTCAGGATGGCGGATTTCCTTCCCTAAAAGACATTAGTGAACCGCTTGAGTCTTTACAACAATACGGCAGCTTTGTGACTGTATTTCAGGTGCCTTGTCAAATTGCCAATTATTTGGTACTAAATTGCCTAAATCTCATTGCAGAATTTGAACTCATGACGTTTGAGATTCTAGTCCAGTAAAATTACCAACATTATTAAATTGTAATACTTTTTTCCTATTGTTGACTGAGCTATCCAGACTCATTTTATAACCTTTTCTAATGGGCATGACAAGTTAACATTAGACTGTAAAACCATTGATAATTTGTGAGGCTGTGTCAAGTCCTTAGTGGTCTGGTGAAGGATCTGCTCTTGCGTACCAACCTTAGTATTCATCTGAATTTATCTGAGTGGTTTTCCTTGCCTTTTCCTTCAGTGATTCATAGCACAGACATAGTGTTGCTGCTTTATGTGTGTTTGCCCTGGCCATTTGTTTTCATTATATAATCCTCTCTCATTTAGTGTGATTGCAAATGGAGACCTCTTAAACCCTGCCGTCCGGCTGCTGATACCTAAAAAGATACTGAGACAGTGGGAACAGGTTCTCGGTATGATCACGGAGAAAGTAAACCTTAGAACTGGAGCTGTAAGAAAGTAAGTCTTACCCAGAATGACTGCTGACTGTACTAACATGACATTTGTTGATGATGGGAACATTATGTGACTTGGTCAGTGATGTAAAGTCCAGGTCAAGTATACTATATGCTTGGGGAAAAGAACTTTTTTTTCTAAAAAAAGTGCTGATCCTCCACAAGGCTACGTCAGTGTATAAAAAGATGTAACTAACTGTCATGATTACAGAACTGTCGACGTTGAAAGTGACATTTGTTTAGCAGTGGACTGCAAACTTATTTAGACTATGGAACTACAGTATTTATTTTGAAATAGTGAAATAGCGTCAGAATGGGTTGCGTTTTTAAACTGATTTAACTGATTGCTGATCCCAATAAGTGATGATTGCCATTTTTTTTTGAATCGAAGGAAAATATTTAATGACACGACATGCAACAGAGATCATTTGCGATAGGAGCAGTAAAGTGAGAGGAGTTATGGAGTGGGGTGAAAAGAGCGTCTCATGTGTGAGTTGCACTGACGATCTATTTCCTGCATACAGACTACACTATGGCCCATTATAACAGGTGGACGTCTATGCAGCAAAAAGGAAGGGACATCGGTGACCTAGTGACCCACAAGTCAGAATGGGTTTAATGTGGGAACCAGTGAGCTGTGCTCGTACGCATTGAAACTGTCTGGTATACCTTGCTACAGCACGGGATCCCAACCACTGTGTTCTAACAAAGCCATACCGTAGTTTACATTCATTGCACTTAATTTAATCTGAACAGATTATGAAGGTGTGAGAGGTCACAAGGAGAATGAAGAAGAGAAACACTCAGTTTGGTTCAAGCTTCAAATTTGTAGTTCTGCTGGCATCCAGCACAATAACTTCATCCAATAGGTTGTCACAAAACAAAATAAGAGTTAAAACAGGGAAAATGATAGAAATAAGAACATTTAAGCTATCCCTAAATCAAAAAGGATATATACTTTCCTTAAGTAAATATCCTATTCTGTTACTTGAAGAAGAGCATTACTCAAGTTCAGTGTGTTTTTTTTTGGTTTGGTCAGTTTCTAAATTGAAATTATAACAAGGTACACAGAAGGACACACACTTCTGGGAGACTGTTTGTGCCAATATGTAAAATAACTGTCTTTGCATTTGGTATAGCATCACAGCATTTTACTGTAAAGTGTAGTGACTGTATTTTGTAGGTGAACGCAGCAGTCAATTTTTGTATGGCAATGCTCGTGGACTGACATCAAATGAATCGCCACAATTATTTGGGGGATTGTTCCCAGCCACCGGGAAAAATTCCCTTCTCAAATAGTGCCATGGGATCTTTAATGTCCATAGAGAGGAACTTGGTTTAAAGTCTCATCCAAAGGATGGCACCGCCCACAATGACAGCAAATCTCCAGCATTGCGTTGTGAGTTCCAGGTCAAAGTTTAATATGGTAACAAACTCTTAAAAGTATAAAACCATGGGCATGATATCCTCCCTCCCCTTTCATAGCAAAATTTCACCCAAGTCTCGAAAATGTGATAAGGTGCTATATCAAATGCAAAGCTTATTATATTATAAAATGAGGAGAAAATTCTGGCCATTTGCTTAATTTGTCCTTTGATATATAAATGAATGCACTGCTTCCTCCTCACCTTTCTCCCTCCAAAACTTTCTCCAGTTGTCAGCTGTTTGTTTTGTTGCTAACACATTAGAAAGTTATTCTTCTCCTTCACTCAACCTTCATAAAAAGTCTTATATAAATTTTGCAAAGTCTTCCTTGAATGCTTTTTTTAAAAGCATATTTTACTAAAGTAGCCGCCATACCCATTGATCTTTTGATCTAGGTTTTGAATGCATTCCTGCTTTGTACAACAGGGCAGTCAATTGAGAAACCCCTGCATTAGTGGGTGCCATGTCCGTTGAAACCTTTCTCAGGTCTGTTGCCAACCTCAATCGTCGCCAGTTCCAGTTTGGCCTCTCATAGTAAGCGGGCAGGAAAGACTTTGAATCAACATCAGCGCAGAGAGTGGATCAGTCAATTGTCACTGCTTAAAAGAGCTAGATTTCTATTAAAAGTAATTTATGTAATGTTGAGACAGTTATCAGTTGAAATAGTTTGTTTAACTTGCAGAGTTAATAGTTTAATAGTTAATCTGTGCACTGAACTAATAATGTATTGTGAACAAGAATACTGAAAAATAGTAGTTATTCTATTTAACTATTCCATGGTGCATTGGTTTGGATCAGTGGAGGGAAGAGAGATGAATGAGCAGAACATTAACTGGCCTCAACCATTCACATTCCTTCAAAAAATGTCTTAGATCCTGCTTCAGTTAAGTTAACAAGAACTTTAATTTTAATGGGTCATTTACTTCAATCCTTTTTGTTTGTTGAAAGCAGTCTGCAGCAGTCTAATATTTTTCTATAACAGTTTGTGAAATTTGAAGAATCAAAAGCCTATTCTACTGCGCTGTCTGGCATTGTGTTATTACCATTATGGTAACTTCAGAATTTTTTTTCTTAAAAGCATTTTAAACACAACAGAGCACATTGGCAATAAATGTCGGTGATTAAGGCAGGAGTACTACTATCTATATTTGCAGAGGGCCCCTTTGCCTGCTGGAACCTCTCTGCTGTGTTCTCAACAGTTGATCACGTACTCCTCCGTCATCCACCTTAGTGGGACCGCATTTGCCTGGTTTGAGTCCTACTTAACCGACCACCATCACTTCGTTTCTTCAAATGTTTTTTCCCGTCCCCGCCACCACCTTGTCACCTGCGACGTACCCCAATGGTCCTTCCTTGAACCCCGTTTAATTATTTACACGTACCATCTCAGCGATGTCATCCACAGATACAGGGTCAACTTCCACATGAACGGATGGCACCCAAATCTACTTCTACCCCTCCAGCTGCAACTCCAGGTCCGTTGATGTTCCGTCAGCTGGATGAGAACAAACTTCCTATGTTGTACTTGAACATTGATAAGATGGAAGGCACACTCCTTGGCTTCTGTCAACGTCTTCTGTCCTGTGACTCAGATCTCATCAACCTCCCTGGCCTATCCTTCAGACTTACTGAATGTTTTTTAAACTAAATATATATATATTTGTTGATATATATTTACTCTTATCTCAGCCAGTATTAAACCCATTACAGAAGAAAAGACGCAGCCTGTTAATATTGCGTTACAGGACGCAACAGACCCAGCCCCTTGTGGTGAGGGGGTTCCCTTTGCGCACTCCACTTTGGTGGAGGGACCAAAGGCTTTCCCGCCTCAGGGTTCTGGCACCTTTGCAGGGCGCAGTTACAAATGTGGTCCGGACAAGTTCACAGCACACAGGATGTGTGTAAGCTAGATGTTGGGTTCGATCCCCAGTTGTCTTTCCTACCCCACACCCGATCCCTAACCAAGATCACTTCCTCCACCTCCATCACATCATGCTTCCCATGATCTAGCCAATTTCCATTCCCCTTCAGATGCTCCCTTCTCATTCTGTGCATTCTAAACTTCTGGAACCAATCCCCTGAGTAGCAGTATAAACATTTTGCTAATTTCTAAACATGTAGCATTCACTAAATTTTGCTTTGTTATTCCATTTGGTGAATTTCCCATTATTGTTTTTCTTACAGAAGATGCCATATCTTTTTGTAAATTGGTTATGTTCTTTATTCTCCAATCCTCAGATGCCACAAATGTTTCTAATGAGCACCTAAATATATCCAGCAGAACATGACCAATTTCAATTCCTCTTGTCTCTGTGGCACACCTTCATCCACTTTGTATCCAGTGGTGCATTTATTTTTCTCTATACAATTTTCTTGTAGTTTTTATGTTCAATTGAATTATGTTAACAGTATGTCCAGAAACCCATTGTTCCTCCATGTATTTCCATTGTAGTACTCAAACAATTGTGCTTGATCCTTCACACATTTATCCAATGCCTTTTCCTGATCCGTTGTTCTATAGTAGATTTTAATACAACAACTTGCATTTAGGTAGCCTGACAAGTGAACCAGAGGCAGTAGGGAGGTGACCATAAGCATGATCAAAATGGAAGGTCTTTTGGTTGGATTTGAAGGTGGGCAGGGAGGGGACAAGGTAGAGGGAGAGAGTTCCAGAGTTTTGTGGCGTAGTCACTGAAGGCATGGCCACTGATGGTGGAGAGGGTGAGGGACAAACAGGAGGCCGGAGCCACCTGAGTGGAAGCAGCGGTGTGAGGGCATGAAGGAGTTTCAAAATGAGTGAGAGGATCTTGAAATTGATCCGTTCAGTAATTGGGAGCCAGTGGAGCCTGGCAAGGGCTGGTGTGATGGGGTACAGAGTTTTGTGCGGGTGAGTATCTGGGAGTGGAGTTTTGAATGAATTGAATTTTGTGTATAGTGGAGCTGGAGAGACCAGTAAAGGAAGACATTGGAATAATCCAGCTGGGAAGTGACGAAAGGCATGAATGAGGGTTTTGGCTGCTTTCGATGCGAAGTATGGACAGAGGGGGGCAACATGATGGAAAAAAGCGGTCCTGGTCAGGGAATGGATGTGGGTTAGAAAGGAAAGGTGGGGATCGAACCTGATGCCTAAGTTGCGCACAGGTTTGGTGAGTCTGAGGGAAAGCCCATGAAGGTTGAAGAGTTCCGACCTGAAGGAGAGAAGATGTTGACAGGAGCCAAAGAGTATGGCTTGTGTCTTGCCAACATTCAGCTGCAGTAGATTTGTGCTCATCCAGGCCTTGATGTCCGTCAAACTGGGAGTTGCAGCTGGAGAAGTAGATTTGGGTGTCATCCGTGGAAGTTGACCCCATGTCTGCAGATGACATCACTGAGAGGAAGCATGTAGATGAGGAAAACAACAACAGCAGCAGCAAAATTACATTTATAGAGCACCTTTCCCGTCGGGAGGACGTCCCAAAGTGCTGAACAGTCAGGTATTGGGGCCTGAGCATGGGGGAGGGGTGATGTAGGGTGAGGGAAGGTAGAGAGGTGGGAGGGAGACCAAAGGTACAGTCGAAGAGAAGGGTCTTGAGACCTGTC